TCTCTCCTCAGACCTATAATGGCTCCCTCTGTTATGGTATCTCTCATCCAGCTGTCCTCTATTCTTCCCCACACTCAACCTTCCTGCTCACCCATTTCCTCCTCTCCCCTCCTCTTCTCCCCCTTTCTTTCTCCCATCTACCTCTCCCCTCCCCCCATACTCCCAATCAGCTCATGAGATCCAGACCCTTCCCCTTTTCTGGGGTACCATGCATGTCTTTCTTAGGGTCCTCCCTGTTTCACACAGTTACTGGAGGTAGGATTGTAGGCTGGCAATCCCATGATCCATGTCTAAAATCCATATATGAATGAGTGCATACCATGTTTGTTTTTTTGTGACTGAGTTACCTCACTCAGGATAGTTTCTTCTAATGCTATCCATTTGCCTGTGAATTTCAAGATGCCATTGTTTGTTTTTTCCGCTGAGTAGTACTCCATTGTGTAAATGTACCACATTTAATTTTACATTAAATGGAGAGGGGTGAGTTGGAGAAGAGAGAGTAGGGGTTAGATGGTTAGATTTGCTCAAATCACATTGTATTCCTGCAGAAAATTTTCACACAATGAAAAAATTAACATAGTTCTTCTAGATCCTTTATGTCTCTCTTTTCTTTTGTTATGTCACTGCTTAATATTTTATTATTTATTTTTGTTTATTTGTGTGTGTGTGTGTGTGTGTGTGTGTGTTTGCATGAGTGTAGTGACCATAGAGTCCAGAAAACAGTGTCAGATTCCCCAGAAGTTGAAGTTATTAAAGGTTATGACCCATCTAATGTGGGTTCTTGTAGTCAAAATTGTGTCTTCTATAAGAGGAGTATGCACTCTCTCCTCTATATTCCTAGAGAAAATGGTCATCTTTCATCTATGACATATATGTATTTTTTATTTTAGAAACACTTATTTTACATATCAATCCCTCCATTCCCTCATGTTCTCATCCTCCCATGCCCACCCCCCTCAATCTACCACCCACCCACCTCCCAAGGATAGTGAGGCCTTCCATGGGGCATCATTAAAGTCTGTAACATAGTTTGGGGGAGGGCCTAGGCCCTCTTCTGTGTATCTGTGCTGCAATAGTATCCCTCCATAGGGAATGGGCTCCCAAAGCCCATTTGTGAACTAGGGATAAATAGTGGCTCCACTGTTAGAGATCCCATCTGTTAGCTCAGTCTTAATTATCATAAATCTATATATTTTATAAGACTTATAGAGGATGCCTTCTGCTGGCACCCTCTCCTCAATTATCATAAATCTATATATTTGATAAGACTTATCTTATAGAGGATGCCTTTCGCTGGCACCCTCTCTTGCCGGTGGCTCACATCCCACCGCTGGAGGAGGCAAACAGGGAAAAGGGACACTTCCTGTTTCTCCTTGCTTAAATATGAGTCTCCTTGCTATGTCACTTCCTGCCTGGAACACCACTTCTCTACTACATTTCCCAGAATCCTCTTTGACTCATAGTCCCGTCTAACTTGCTGTCTCATTGGCCAAACAAGTACTTTATTCAATAATCAATAAGATGAACATACACAGTACATTCCTCATCAAGTAATAATAGAAACATTTATTAATGCCCTAGACATTATTTTAAAAGTTGTTCTCTTTTAAATAAATATAATTGACATCAATATTGTAAATCCAGATAATATTTATAGTGAAAAAATGAGGACAGTTGTTTCAAACATAATAGTTCTTAACCTAACTAGTTAGGATTAAGAATCTTTTAGAAGTAGAATTTTATCTTTCTCAATGCTTTTCTTTCTTGTCATCTCTTTAAAATCTTAAATAAAAGAGGTCAATACATCACACAGTTGATCAACCACCAAAGCCCCAATTTATTTCAGAAGCCACAGAAAAGGCTGCTTGCAAAGGCTCTCTGTATTTCTAAGTATAAATTTTCAAGTAGAGCAGGCACTTTGTTTGAGCCACATTAGCTGTCAGATTGCCTGAGGCACTGACGTTAGGCATCCCTTAACGGCCAGGACAGTTTTCAAATCTGTCTACCACTCAAATTTGTGGATTTTTGTTAGGACTTCAAAAAATATAAACTCCATAATATCTTTGCTCGTATTATTGTACATTTGTAAATAAAAGTTTTTATGAAAGGATTCTGAAAAGCATTTCTTGTATTATTTGTTTAGTACATGTATGGCATTTTATATAACTCTCTAGAAGATTATGACCTTTATACTCACTATTTACAATAATTCTTAAGCAACACATGTTCATCATTGCTTTTAGACTCAGTTTTGATAATATTATTTGTTTAGGCAAAGTTAATAATGTTTGGAAATAATAACTCTTTTCAAAAAATAATTTCAATCTATTGTCTTAGAATAAATTTGGGTTTAAACATCATTTAAAAATTTGAGTCATATTTTATTTGAGAATGGGCTTTTGTGTGGTTAAAATACAATATGTTTGTATTACAAAAAAGAATTTTCATTTTTCTTCAAAAAATGTTACTCCTCAGGAATTATAAGATACTTGTGTACAGTTCTTCTTGCTTGGAAGAGAAAATACTTTTAGATTGATGATAGATAGGTTGAAGATTCATTAGTAGTTGGTGGAGTGTGTATATATACATAAAACTAGTTTTTACATAAAGACAACTTTATTATGCCTGACATAACTATTTGTACCTTTTTAATGGATTATATTAATCTTGAGATGCCCACAAGTAGAGAAAAAGCAAATGTTAATAATGATATACAAAAATTATCTAGGATATGACAGTCCATGAGTTGCATGTGGCATTACAATTTGAAACCACTAAAATATTCAAAGAATGGATGAAAAGTAGAGCATAACCCTTTTAAAACAATAACTGTATACTTTTATTTTACACATTTTATTTTATATATGTACAGGTTTTGTTCAGCAACTGATTGCTTTAACTGGTTATACTATGGAATCCTAATCCATATTAACAGTATTATCTTCAAATATGGGGAAGAAATTTTGAAATATATGATATATGTATATGCATTGTACTTAAAACACAGCACAATTCATCTCAATTGTTTTAAGTTTAATAGTTCTAAACTCTATTGAATTTAAAAATTTCTGTCATAAATGGAAATGGTTTTTTTCTTTCATTAATTTTCTTCAAAACATTTGAAGCATGTATGATAAAGTGTAAAAGTATTGTTTGTTTACTAGTAAGCCAAAAGAGAGACATCTTTATTAAAGAACTGCCCATTGATCCGACTCTACACACCAGTAACTAGAGAAGTCAGGAATCTGCACATTAGAACCAGACCTGGTCCACCTGCTTAGTAGGTTGTGTACTACTGGGTAGCTATATCCTCTGATCATCAAGTTTCTTTCCTTTCATACAATAATAAACCTAATACCAGCTCATCAGGATGTCATCAATGTTGTGTAAATTCAAGTTCAACATCCTAGAAATGCTAACAATCCTAAACATGGATGGGCCCATTTCCATACTATTAATGTGGGCATCAAAATATAATAGAGGCGAAAGCACTCAGAATTACTAGGTACATGTGAAAATTGTCAAATAACAAAATATATTAATAAATAAACAGAAACTCATCATTAAGAAATGTTCAGCATGTGTCACTACCTCACCTTAGGCTGAAACTTTATTCTCAAGCTCTTTCAGTGCTCTTGGTACCAGAGCTAGCAATAATTATCTGTATTTTTTTTTTTTTTTTGGATTGATGCTTGTGAAAATGACTGGTACACAAATCCCAGAAACTATTTTTTCAAATACTGAAGGCTTGAAATGTTAAAAATCTGGTTTATCCCATAGGCAGATGTCAAATGCTGTGTGGCTTAGTTTTGTCTGGAACTTGTATGATTTGAAGGTGTTAGAGGAGGGACTTGTTGCTTAATCTCATCAAGATTCAACACATATTTAATGAGAACTCTCTTTGTACCAAATGGTTATTGCATTCTGTGAATGCAACTTTAATAACAGCACAGCTTCCAAGAAGCTATTCTGCGTGATCATTAGACTATTTCAAATATGGCAACCAATATGAATGATGACCAAAACTGAAGGCCTAATGGAAGACATTATGTTTTATTCTTTACTGGTGGTGGATGGAATCAATTCAAACTTAGTACAATGACCAATTGGATAGTGCTGACGAGCATAAGGGTAGTGGTAACTGGCCATTTTGTTTAAAGCACTATAATGTTGCAATATACTATACATTAAAATAAAAATCTTTTCTCATTGAAGAGGTAGTTCAGTGATACAATCTTTGCTTAGAACATACAAGACTCTGTGGACCTATATCCATAATTTCAAATGTGAAAAAGAAAAAAATATTTTTCTCTTTCAAGGTAACCGAACTGCACAACATCAAAAACATAACCAGACTGCCTCGAGAGACAAAGAAGCATGCGGTGGCAATTATCTTTCATGACGAAACATCGAAGACATTTGCTTGTGAGTCAGGTAAGCAATTTCTTGCCCCTCTACAGCTTGAGGAAATTGAGTTGCTCCAGAGACAATGACTCAGACAGATGAAGCCACACACAAGTCTGATTAGGATGGCATATTGCAATTAGATGTGCGGTGGAAGGCTTTGTAAGAAGTTAAGCATACTGGTATACTGTAAAAACAGTGGTTTTGATTTCTGCTATCATGTCTTTGTCTGGGGCTTGTTCCCAGTTTGTCCAAGGATTCTTAGGGTTTTTGTTCAAGCTTTAGTAAACAATACTTGGAAGATTTTCAGAATCAGCACATGAGTTTTATTTTGGGTTTGGCAAAGTATAACTGTGAGGCAAAGTATAACTGTGAGTGTAATAGTAATGCTTCCAGAGAAAGCTCACCCAAGAGCAGCCTAGCTCCCAGACATTTTAGAACAGAACTTTGAGCAATGTGTTGCTTTCATGGAGTCTCAGTACTATAATAAGTCAATATATTTTAGATTGAATTTTAGCATGCCAGTTCATAAAACACTCTGACATTATGGAGACACAAGCAGTTTGTCGTTTGAACCAGCAGTATTTTTCATGGAGCAATCCCTGTGCAATGTAACATATTAGTTGGCTTATTGCCTTTTAAAGATTCAGCTCAATGAAATGCTGCATTTGCTTTATAATGGATGTTTTTAGAATGGATGCAGGCAAAATGTCCAATGCTTTGAAAGAGTTTAAATATTGAATTTAAAATAGTAGTGAAGTTTTTGGGAAGCTTTTATATTATTTTTAAGAGAAGATATGACTAAAAGTTTATGTTTAATTAATATAAGGTTATATTACAAAAACGAATAATGTCATTTTGCCTAAATGGAATTGCTTACAACTTATCTAATTTTATATGAACTTGGCTGAGCTGAACTGGAATTTATGAAATAATTCATTCCTGTAACTCCTTTACCCACCGATACCCTTCTGGTATATTTCTCTCTGGCTACCATCTGGCCTCATCTAATTTAAAATATGCTATTGGTCCTGTTTCAACCTCACTGCTAAAATGTTATTGTCCAAAATATTTTATCTTTCTGCCTTCTTGGACAACTTCTTAAAACTCTCTAAGCATATAATTTTCTTCAAATTCTTAAATATATATTTATAGCATTATTAAAACTAATTACAACCAAAAATCATTTCTACAAAAACACAAAAAGAATTTTACTAATCTTATTTGCACTGTTGTTTAGTATTGCAACATTGAACTAGGCAGTATTGGAGATGTATAAAGAACTCTAGAGTCAAATTTCAAAAAGAATGGTATTTAGTTATATTTATTTAGGTAAAATTTTATTTGGAATTTTTGGAGAATTTATGTATATTTAATTAATGAATTCAATATACTATCTTTTCTCTGATAATTATTAGTATTATAGTAGAAATATTCAGTATATCCAAATGGCTTTTATTATTAAAGAACTATAATCATGTTCCAGTTTCTATCAGCTGGTTTTTAAAGTAGGGTTCATATTATGAGAATGTATAAGATATTGGTCTTTTTCAAGTTTTAATATTCTAAACTGTTTGTGAGGGTGCATATTCCTTGGTGTATATATTCATACACACACACACACACACACACACACACACACACACACACACACGGTATTGTATGACATGTTTCTCCAAATTGCATGATTCCCTAGGAACTGTAATATGTGCTCTAGAGGAAAAGGGAGGCTCATGAACCTCAGGAGATAAACTAGAGGGCTCCAAATGTCACATGTGAAAAGAAAAAAAAAAAGATTTAGAAGAATATTGAGGGCCTTTATCCAGCACTGTAAATGGGATTAAACAGTTGTTGGGAATGCAGACTGTCACCAACCAAACTGAGAGAAGACATTCAAACTGTGGAGCTCCTTATAGGCTCCATAGAAAGCTCCAGGGTTACAGTTTCAGAAGTCATCACCCATGTTGGGTTGAGCTTTCTGGTGTTACAGTTACTTTCATATAATCCCTGCTCCCTGTTAAGTAACCCCTCACCCATACTCTTGTTAGTAAGCTAATTCATTGTTTCACCAAATCTGGCACTGCTAGAATCATTTCTTTCTTCTGTCAGAGACTCTCCTTTGACATAAGTTACCACGTGTATGTCTCAGATCTTCTGAAAAAAATCTATCACACAATATATAGACACACATATGTGCATATACCGAATTTCATCCCAAAGACCCTTGCTGCTCCATGTCATTCTTTCTCATCACCGTGGTCACCTCCCTTTGTCTGATAAAGGATAATTGCCAGAGGGACAGAGGAAAAGTAGATATTTCTTTGTACTCTGATATTTGAAGACATGTTAATGAGTTTGTAGTAAGTAGGTACTACACATGTGTTCTGTGTGTGCTCATCCACATGCCAACTTCTTCACATCTTAATACTTGTGCATTGATTCAGAAACATTCACGCTCATGACAAAGACTCAGCCTCATGTGTTCATCAGTACTTTTTGGAGTCTTGACCTTGAAATGAGGATTATAATTTAACTCCAGGAATCATGGCAGCAAGGTGTCCAGAGAGGAACTGTGATGACATCCAGGTCCCCTAACCTGAACATTAGCTCAGTACATAAGGCTCAGCACAGTTTCCTCAACAAATTTGCAAGTGATTTTAACAATTTCCAGGAAGGCCATAAGACATTAGGATTTAAAATAAAATGGACAATTATACTCAGAATCTAGACCTTAGTTCCTAAAAACAGTTAACTGGGCTTTGTGGAGAACTGTCTGATTCTAAGACCAAAGATAGGAACTAGTTAAGATGAGCATCTTATAGAGCTGAAAAATACAGAACAGAATTAATTAAATTAATTGACCAGTCAATCAAAACAAACTTTTGAAGGAGCACAAGTTGAGCAAATCAGTACTAGCCTGAACATGCCTGATCAGTCTTTTCTCAGAAGATTATTAAACACATGAATGAATTGCCTGGGTGAAAAACAAAACAAAACAAAAAAACAAAACTTTTCTCTAAGGTTTAATAAAAAGCACGGTATTCCTCACCAGCATGAGGGCGATTCCCACTCCCCAGAAGGAGGAACTTCTTCATAATTTTATGACTCAAGATGGGAAAGAGTCTATTAATAACAAAAGCTTTTGAATTTCAAAAATAAGCCAAATGCCAAATTAATAGAAAGATAGCTTAGTTATGGTTTCTATTGCTGTGATTAAAAGACCATGACCAAAAGTAATTTGGGGAGAAAAGAGTTTATTTCATCTAACAAATCACAGGTCACGGTTGTAACTAAGGGAAGTCAGCTTAGAAATTTAATGCAGAAACCTGGTGGCAGTAACTGAAGTAGAAGCCTGACATTCTTAGTCAGCTCAGGACTACCTGCTTAAGGCTGACACCACCCGCAAGAGCTAGGCTCTCCCATATCACTCATTAATATGAAGACTGGCACACTAATCTGCAGTCCAATCTTACGGAGGAGGCCTTTCTCTCAGTTAAGAGTTCCTTCTCTCAAATATGTCTGTGTAAAGCTGACAGAAACCAACCAAGACAAAGGGGAAAATGAAACATATCAGAAATAAATAAAGTAGATAATAATTAATTTAATTACAAACAATGGTCCTAGAAGAAATATCAGCCATCAAAGCACTTGAATCGAGGTCTGGAAATTATGTCTAAAGCTGAGCATGGTGGCATATCTGTAATACCTGCACACTTGGTTTCACTATCAAGCTTAGCTGCTTACACAACTCTAGACCAGTTCTTCGTAAATATTTCAGGAATTTGAAGAAGGAATTCTATGAAGCCAGCATTACCCTGATACAAAAATCATCCAAGACTAAAAAAAATCATCAAACTAAAATCTACATCAAATACCCAAACTAAAAGTAGATGTGAAAAACCTTCAAAAAATTTTATTGCACCTAATCTAACAGCACATATTAATTCATGTTAACATGATAAATTGAAACTCAATTTAGCTAAGAATCGAATATACAAATCAATATATGACATACTACGTGAAAAAAATGAAAGATAAAAACTACCTGATCAGCTTAATAAATTCAGAAATACATTTTGGTAGAACTCATATTGTATCACATTTAAAATACTCCATAAAATTTGGAAATAGAAATAATCTGCATACACATAATAGAAATAATTTATAATGAGCCAACAGTTAGGATCATATGGAACTGTGAAAGCAGAGTTTTTAAGTAAAGGGTGGAGGCAGCATGGCACTTTCTAGTTTCATTAAACATAATGCTAGAAATACAAGCCAGAGACTTCATGGCAGGGGAAGAAGTCAAAATTATAAGAAGTCAACTTGCTTCTCTTTGAAGATTATATGTATATTGAAAACTAATATGAGAAATAAGCAAATTTAATAATTCTGCAAAATGAAATAATAAACATCCCCCAAATTAGGAATATTGTTTTATGCAAATAGATTTTTGTAATAAAAGTCAAGAAACCACTATACCTAATAAGTTTAATTTTCTCAAAATGTAAATTTTTGCTATAATGAAAATTATAAAACACCAGTGAAAGAAATTAAAGAAAATAAACACATACACAAATTAATACCCTGTGTTCATAGAGTAGAAGAATCAATATTGTTAAATTGCTTACACTACCTAAGAAATCTATATAGTAAATATATCTCTGGTTTTTTTTTTTGTTTTTTGGGTTTTTTCCTTTGAAATAGGGTTTCTCTGTGTAGCTTTGGAGCCTATCTTGGCACTTGCTCTGTAGACCAGGCTGGCCTTGAACTCACAGAGGTCTACCTGCCTCTGCCTCCCCAGTGCTGGGATTAAAGGCGTGAGCCACCAACGCCCAGCAAATACATCTCTGTTGTAGTGCCAAATTAATTCTAATAACTGTATAAAACAATTCCAGAATGTGTTTGAGGCCAAAAATAACATCAAATTTCTAAAAAAATTTCAACAAAAAAATAGTAGAATTCATTGTTACTAGATTTTGTAATATATTCTGAAACTGAAATAGTGGAAACAGCACAATAATAATATT